TCTCTTTCACCCTCTACTCTCTCTATCATCATCACCTCTACTCCTTCTACTACTCTCTCCCACTCTGTATCATCTCTATCATCATTATCAGATTAATCAGAGCTGTACAGACTGCAGAGTCAGCTATTTAATCTCCTTCATGAATTCAAAGAGATGTATATGACATCACATGAGATTTTATTACAGAGTATTTAGCAGTATATACTATAAATACAGAGATCAAAATGTGGTAGAGATAGTAAGAGAGAAGTAGAGATAGTGAAAGTGATAGAAGAGACTGTAGAGTAGTAGAGATAATGATGGTGATAGAGAGGCTAGAGAGTGGAAAAGGTGATAGAGAGGGGTGATAGAGGTGGTAGAAGTGAGAGAAGTGATAGAGATGATGAGATAGATACTCTTAATCTTTATTTTATACTGCTTATAAAAAGTAAGATACTTAGTTGATTTCTATTTATATCTTAATGATCTCAAATACAAAATTATACAGTATTTGAGATATCATAGAGAATCTGTAATTGAATAACCAATTAATATGAAATAGAAGATATTGTTCTTCAGTATTCATGAGATTCTGATAGTAAGTTAATATTATCTTTATTCTGAACATCTGTTGATCTTTGAATCATTATGTCAAGATAATGCAATTGATGCTGAATTTCTTTGCAATCTCAGCATATTTAGAAATCAATTGTTGATTCAATTGAGTGATTGCTTGCTCTATAATCACTTCATTGAGTGGCATGGTGAGTGGTAGCAGTTCGTTGAGTGGATGAGTTCGTTGGGTGGTGAGTCACGTTATAGGCTGCCGTAGTTGCCTAAAGCAGAATAGGCGGCGATAAGTTACCTAGGACGGCTGCCCGCGTACATCAAAGGCAACATCAATATGTCTTACGAACATCCGTCTTGACAGATTCCCTATTTATATCCCGACCAACTCCCTTGTCGACTTGAACCTATTCTAGAATCAACATTACTATCCGTGAACTCTCGAAGGTTTTACCATGGCAGGAAATCCAAATGCGCCAGCAACGGCCAAGGCCTTTGTACCTCTTGGTGAAAAGCTACCCCTCCTCTCCAGAAAGATGCGGACTAACTCCATTGCCGCAGCAAGACTAGTATGCTAACAGACGTGCAGAAAACAACCCAGAAGTGATGTCACACCTCATCCATCAGCTAGGTGTCTCACCCGCTCTTGGCTTCACCGATATCTACAGCATCGATGACCCCGATCTCATCGCCTTCGTGCCCCGCCCCTCCCATGCTATCCTCCTTGTCTTCCCAGTCACCAAAGCCTACGAAGCCGCGCGCATCGCAGAGGACACAGATAGACCTGTATACGAAGGTTGCGGTCCCAACGAACCTGTAACCTGGTTCAAACAAACGATCCGCAACGCCTGCGGGCTAATCGGACTCCTACATGCAATCAGTAACGGTGCTGCAAAGGCTCATATCACACCTGGCTCAGATCTGGATCAACTGCTGCGAGATGCGGAGCCGCTGAAGCCTGCTGAGAGAGCTGATTTACTATATGCAAGCAAGTCCTTGGAGAGCGCACATGCCGAGGCGGCGAAGAAAGGGGATACTGCAGCTCCGGACGCGGATGAGAAGATAGATTTGCATTTTGTATGCTTCGTGAAAGGAAATGATGGACATTTATGGGAACTGGATGGGCGGAGAACGGGACCATTGGACCGTGGCGCTTTGGGCGAGGACGAGGATGTATTGAGTGAGAAGGGCTTGCAGTTGGGCGTTCGCCAGCTGTTGAAGAAGGAGGCAGAGGCTGGGGGTGATGTGAGGTTTAGCTTGGTTAGTTTGGGGCCGGTTTTCGATTGATTAATCTTTCGATCGACTAGTTGTACGGCACGGCAAGAGACGTCTCTCTTGCTACCTTTTTTAGCCTATAAATGTAGGTTTCTTTTATGATTGTTGATGATAAGATATATGCTTGTACTTTATACCCTTGAAACGTTCATACAGCTTGACTAATGGATTCAATCAGACATACTTGTAGGTATTTCTGCACTGGGTGTAGAATTGACGATTTGAAACCGGTATTTTAAACTGTGGGATCGCTCAAAACAGTGTGTACATCAGTGACTGGGAGCCTAGACAGACTTGACACTAGGAGAAGTTGGCCAGAGGAAAATTCCATACTGATGGTCCGGATGGATTTCTGATTATTCCCTTCGAAGACCCTCCTCCGCTAATTTCAGTAACTTCACATGTCGACTCAGGCACAGACAAGGTTAGCATTCTTGAACACAAGACAGGGTGCTCCAACCGCGCCGCCAACTCCCTTGGAAATTGTGGGCCAAGGATAATCGCTCTAAGGGGTTGGTTCTAAATATATTACTTATTTGGCTAGGGCCGATTAGTCGTCGCCATTTCACTGCTATTGACTACACTACTGATTGATCAGTAGTAAAAGCAGTTTCAGAAGTGACTGAGAAGATAATGATAAAGTTCTTACACAATAAGATCTATATTAACTATGAAATGCTGTGTGAAATTCTGACTAATAATGATACAAATCCTGTGAGAGAAGTGATGAGGCATTTCATGTAGCGTACGCCGCTACGTAGGGTCAGATATAAGGGTAAAAACACGTCTGATTGTCTAAAAGATGGGAGATGGGCGTACACCCCTATATGTACAGTGATTGTTTATAGAGATTAACTCTCATAGAAGGAGTGATCGCATATGAAGGGAAGAACAGAGGCTCTGTAGAGAAGGAGCAGAAGCTCTCATAGAAGAAGTGATTGCATATGAAGAGAAGGACAGAGGCTCTGTAGAGAAGATAGGAGCAGAAGCTTCAGAAAACAGCAAGAGATGAAACAGAAGCTAGAGTTGAATAGAAGATTGACTTGAATAGAGGGTGGAAGCACATCACAGTCTCTCTATCTGAAAGAATGTGTTCGCCGAGAAGAAAAAATGACATTGAAAGAAGGTGACAGATATTGCAGACACTAGGCTCAAAGAGATGAACAATAGAATTGCTTTGTTCATAACAAAGAGTGATCAGATGTAAGAATTGTTTCTTTATATAAAAAATAAAAGATGTAAGAATAGCTTGAAAAGAAATAATAAAGAAGAGATAAAAGCTCTTCAATCTAAAAACAGCTATAAGAAAAGAAATAGATTATAAAGAAATTATAAGAAACTTAAATGAGAAAGAATTCTTTAATAAGATAGATAAAAATAAAAGTTTCATTGTAATAGAGAGAAGATTCTGTAAGTAATAAAAATTAAAAGACTGAGATTATATAGATAAATAATTATATTAATATATATATTACAATTACTTCTCTCTTACTCTTCTCTTATTTCTCACATTATTTTACTATTATATACATTAATTTATGAGTATAGAAGTGTTAGATAAAAATTTCAGTAAGAATATAACAGATCTAGTAAAAAACTCTACTATGCATTTTTTTTTTATAAGAAGTCCATTGTAATACACAGAAGATTAAACTGCAGAAATAATAAACTCTAAGAAGAAGTTAACAGCTGTGAAGATGAAAGTAGTAAGTATAATAAAAAAGATCTTAATCTTAGAGAAATTATTTCAGTTATTAAGTTAGAAGAAGTGTGATACTCTTCTTTATATAAGTAATAGAGAAGAGAAGATAAGTAAGATAATAAGTAAAAAGATAAGTAAGAAGACTAATAAAGAGAAGACAGATAAGAATGAGATAAAAAGAAGATAATAAGAGTGAAGAGTTAAAATTTCAGATAGAGAATAAATCAGAAATCTTCAATTCTAGTAACTTCAGAGATAAGCTTTTAATACTATTATCTTATCTTTTTATATACAAAGCAGTTAAAAGCTAAGATAAGAAAAAGACAGTGATATCTCATTATTAATCAGATAAACTGTATCATACTGCTATGAAAAAGTCAATAGATAAATTACATGATAGAAGCTTGAAGAGTTAGAAAGAGTCTAAGACTGTAATATAAAAGCTTATAATACTTTTTATTCATTTGAAAAAGTTATAACTGTTTACATATCAGTTTTCAGAAGAAGATGTTGAGATAAATAAGAAGAGGGAGATTTAGAAGACTGCAGTGAAAGTAGCAGATAATAAAGAACTATAAGTAAAATTAAAAGCAGAAGCTGAATAGATAGATACAGATATAAAAGAATCATCACTGATAGAAGAGAATAAGAAGTGCTAAAGAACTAGTTGAAAGCAGTATAAAACTCTGAGTGATAATGTTTTAGAGAAGTCAGAATAGAAGAAGAATATCAAGAATAATCAGATATCTTAACTATATAACATAGTATATATAAGATGTCTGTATTATGATAATAAGACTGACTTACACTTTTATAGAAATGACAAGCTCACTTATCTGAGTATATCAAGCATGCAGAATCTACTGTGAAGAGACTTGTAAATACTGTCTTAATTATTGAAAGACTTATGAAATATAGTAAGAAGATGTTATTTATTAATTATGAATTTTTCATTTTATTCAGTCAGTGATTAATTAAGAAGTTAAGATAGTTATCTACTAAGTAAAAGTTACACTAATAAATAAATAATGATGAACTAATTATTTTATAAACTGTTAATTCTAAAAGTTCTATTAATCAGAATATTATTATTCTGCAGATCTGTAGAGAAATAGCTTCTATTTTATATCAGTCTTATATGAAGAGTCAGAGATAATTTAAGAAATGCATAATTATCTCTGCAGATAATAAACACATGTGATAAGAGTATAACACTTGTATTAACTATCAGTGAAGAAATAAGAAGTCTTACTACTCTTTAAACTGTTATAGCTGATATGAACTCAGGTGAAATACAGATAATTTACTGTTTAAAGAAAGTATATCTGAATTTAAAAAGACTGCAGCTGAGAAGACAGATGTGAATAATATTATTAAGATTAGTGATATAAAAGAGAAGAATAATTTAACTAATATTTTAATGAAGAAAATTTCTATATCTTTCATATATAAGATGTTGAGTCGGATTGTACTGAAACTTATGAAATATATTTCAATCAGTGAGAGAGACACTATCTCAACATCTGTGAAGATGAATAATAAGACAAAGATAAGCTATTCAATTCCTGCTAAGCTAATTAATAAGATTAAAATGAGTGATATATAATGATTATCAATTCTATCTTCTGAAGACTGCATAATTAATTGTAGAACTTAAGATTTGAAGATACTGAGATAACTATTTAATCTTAATAAGTATAATCTGAATGTCATTCAGGCTGTAGAAAAGAAACTGAATAAGATAGCTGAGTTTATCAATGTAATTTCAGCTGCAGAAAATGCTGTGATTAATAATCATTTCTTTAAGTTATTCAGCAGATTGTGTTTCAATAATCTTGTAAATGAGAGATTATCAGTAAATGTTATATTATGAGATATATATCTCACTGAACTAGACTCTGACTGACTATATGACCGTGTCTGAGATCAGAATCAGAATTTTTGATAGTCTTATTATCAATTTAACTGATCTCATTACACAGTTTTAAAATTAAATAGTAGTCTTATACTATCTCAGTGAGACTTACTGTCTACTCTTATTATATGTTTCAAATGAGATCATAATTTTCACTTCTCAATTTAAATTATTTTTATTACTTTAAATGACTTTAAATCTTATTTAAGTATTATCAAAAAGTGTTACTTTTTAAAAAATAAAAAATAGTCTAAAAAAAACCTTCAAATGTCTAAAAATAGTAACTTCATACTAAGAATGAGACTAAATGAGATCAAATGAAATCACTTTCTTATTTTTTCTAAGTCATGATCTTATTTTAAGATCTGATATATAGTCACTTTGCATGTTTTTTTAATGATTAGTCTCAGTGAAATTCACACTAAGAAATGTATAACATTAGATCAAATGAGATTAAATATGAAATTCATGATTTCAGCGGTCAGTCTACACTGAACAGAAGGTCAAGCTGCAGAAAAAGCTTAAGAATAATTAATGAAAAGAGATAAGATGAAATAATAAAAATGATAGAAGATAATATCTCTGCATTTATCTTGTAAAAGATTTTAACTTCTTGCAGCTTGAAAATAGAATGTTAAGAGAAGAGAAAAGAAAGATAAAGAAGATAATTTTCTTTATTTTCTTTATCTTCTTATAATTGATAGTTAAAAATAGATTGTAATACATTTTATTTCTTTCTTTTACTCTCTCTCTATTTCACTTTTCTTTCTATTCTTTACACAGCTGACTGTGAGACTTCTTAATCATGAAGATCTTAATCAGATATGAAGTGTCTTATACAATGACTTTAAGAAGCTTTCAGATCAGATTCTTAAATCTCTTTTACTTAATCTGAAGATAAGTCTTATTATTCTCTATGCACTTTCTTATAATATTTTCAACTTCAAATTGTAACTGATCATTAATAAGTACTGACTCTGATAATGAGTGTTTTATATTCACTTCTGCTAATACGGTCTTTTTTAGATGAATGATAAAGATTATTAAGTGCATTTATCAATCAGCTAATAGTTTCAATTGAAATACAGTGTCTGATATCTTCTGAAGAACATGAAATAGGCCTTGTAAGAGACCTACACTGAATAGATCGGTATGATATTTATAGGTCTCATATAACAAAGTGAAACACATTAAAGAAGAAAAGAAAAGAGAAAGTACAGAAATCAGTGATCAGAGTGAATATTTATATATATGTGTAATAATGTACACAGTGAAGCTTCAGAGTGAAAGAATAGAAATTCTGTAGATTTTCAGCTGAGAATTGATGACTGAGAATCAGAGCTTCAGTGAAAATCCGTGAAGTATAATGAAATAGTGTATATAATTGATCAGGTGCAGCCTGTCATATTAGTTCTCTCTTTTCAGAGACAGTTCTCATCAGTCAAAAGCTGCTGTTTTGAATAACACAGAGCTTAGAGTTCAGATCAGATGATTATAGCTACTTATTTCACAAGATATTATCAGCTACAGCTGTGAAATCTCTTATTAAAAATATCTTCAATTTCTCACTCAAGCTTATTATCTTCTTCTATGATCTCTAGCGGCTGTCAGTCAGAAGTCAGTTGAGAAGAGAATGAATTAATAATAGTGCAGTGAAGTAGACTTATATAAAATACATCATGAATTTCTGACAGAGTATTAGAATAGTAGTTATGACTGTCTAGAACTTCTGTCACTGTGTATTTCATATAATGATAATTCAATGTATAGAATCAGTATGTGGTCTGTATATTTTTAAGATTTAATTATACAAGATCTTCTATCTTATACTGCTCTGCAGAATCTTATTGAATATTAACTTGATTTTCTTGATCTTGTTTAGTGCTTGTTATGAAGGCTTTTACTCAGTTACAGATGTCTCAGAGCTTTATTACTATATTATCAGTGATCTGAATCAGACTACAGAGGTTCAGTGTGAACTGTGTAATCTCTAGAAGATTTAACATCTTTATATAATAATTATATATAAGAAAGAACAGGCTTACACCTGTTGAAACAGCATCTCAATCATTGATAGTAATCTCTGTGTGTAGAAGAAGATTGTGTTAATCATTCTATAAATAATTACAGAACTTATAAAGATAGTTCTTTACAGTCTGAATTATTTATTCTAATACATTATCAGTCTCAGAGTGATAGATAGTTGACAAACAGTGTATAATCTTAAGAACTTAACAGATTTTTGTTCAGAGAGTGCTTATAAATTAACAGCTCTAATCAGATACTATAGATCTCAGTAAGTCATGCATCTGATAGAATAAGCTATGTAGAAAGGCTTTAATAACTTGTTCAATATTCATCTTATTACAAGGCTTTAATATCACATTCTTACTCAATTGATCAATGATAATCAGAATATTCTTGCAATTCTTACTCTCAGAGAGATCACTAGTGATGTCAATTACTACATCTTATTAGATTCTATCAGAGATATTAAGTGATTTTAGTAGATCTTTTCTACAGTTCTTTTATAAGATAATAGAAGAACAGCAGTTGCAGTTTCAGACAAAGTGTCTGATACTGTTTAATATCTCAGATCAGTAGAACTCTTGAAAGATTATTTAATACAGTTATTCATAACCT